CATAAAGGCCATGATTTTTCTTAGCTGGAATGAATGATACCAAGTTGAAAGAAAGAATATGTACATATGTTCTTTGGAATCTGTTCTGGAGTCTGGGTGCTGAGAAAGGTGTATGGCATATGCTTCTTAACTAATCTCTTTCACATTTTCTGTCAGCTAGCTCTAGAGGGATTCACAGATGCATGTGGGAAATGCTGATTTTAGATAATTCCCTACTCAGCAAGTTGATGTCTTAAAATCTTGTTCTGAGACTATTGTTATTAACTGTTTTCTAATACTTTGCTCTGAATTCCTACACTTGCAGTCAAACATCTGAAAACTAAAAAATGCTTACTTCATTCAGTGAAACACCAGCTGAAGATACCCACATACTCATACCACTGCAGAATTTTAACTTGTATGAAATCTGTAAACATGTAAGAGTTTTTCTCTCATATACTTCAAAAAATTTAGTCTGACATTTGCTCTTCTATATCAGTTTCAGTTTGCAAAGTTTAAAATAGATTAATTCCAGTGAAAGAATTTACAGAATTTGACAACTATCTCTGTAATTGTCTCCACTTAGAATATTTTATTCATTAGTTCATAAAAAACTGATTAGTAGAGGAGTCTTGAAACATCATTGTCATAATGTTTTAAAATCAATTTACATTTACATCCTCTAGGTATGAAATTTAAAACCTTTCAAGGTCTTTTTCTACGTAAAAGATCGTGAATCAAATTAAGTGATTTAAGACAAGAAATGTCAATCAAAAACATGAAATGGAGTCTAACTGGTAATTTACTTATTATCTATTTTAAATCATGACTGAATTATTAAAAAAATTATTTACTCGAGATGCAAGTGTGTAACAGATTTTCATAAACGAAACAACATGATTCTTCATGTCTGATGATATTAAACAAATCTTATCATCTTGGCACTGCCACTATGAACAGTATCAACCTTTCCTCATATTTGTGAAAATTAAGGGCTGATTTTAAAGTATTTTAAAATAACAAGAGCAGTATGATTAAGCCATGTAAGTTATAGCTGGAAAACATAGTATGAAATACAGGCTTTTAGAAGACATTATGGTCTTAAGTATTAGTACTTTTCCTGTGTATTCTGCTTTTACATTATACTAGCAGTGTGGTCATTACAGCAAAAACAAGCATGGAATTGGAAAGGAACATAACTTTATGAGGGGAAATAAAAACTTCTTTGTGTTGAAGCTTTTCATGTTTGGATCTAATGCAGCTGAAGTGCCTCATCAATTCAGTTGCATGACTGTATACTGGCACAAAGGAGGAGGGACAAATAAATATGCAGCAGAAGCAGGCAGGACTGTAGCAGCTACAACTTTTATTAGATTATACTGTTACTGAGCTGTGCGTCAAGTCTGCATTGCTGTGAAAAAAAATGCTGAACTGCTTTTAATCTAGGTTTAACCAGGACCCCAGTCTAGTTCACTGCGTGACCATACAAAAGTTTATATTGCACAAAGAATAAATGTCCAGGGATGAAAACCACACCTTTCAATTGTCATCCAAGTTTATGTTAATTTAAATGCTTGCGGAATTACTCTGCTAGAACTCCATTTCATAACTGGTTTTAAATCAATTAAGACTGCGATGTTGCCAAGAGGGACATTTCCACCCACACAGATTGTGCTGACAACATATTCCTGTCTCCCCTTCTCCTTTTAAATGTTAGTTTAACAGCTGGTAGAGCTGATCAACCTCCTCTGTGGTTGCAAGAAACACCAATATAAATGCAATAGGGGGGACAGAAGCATGCAGTGAGGGCACAGAGGAGAGCAGGGCAGAGGAGCCTTGTGGTAGCAGGAGCTTCGCCTACCTCAATCCCTAGCTTGCCACTTTCTAGCCCTATGAATCCTATCTCTTTGTATCACAGTAACAGCACTTTGAAAGGACATATGGAGACTTTTCCCTCTGCGATCTTTTTTGCCTCAGCAATCTTGTAATTTGTTGGTTAAGAATCTTTCAAAAGTTGGAAGATAGACTGGAATTCCCTTTCTACAGTTCCCTTTAAGCAACAAAATTAATCCTCTCCTTGAAAAGGTGCTTTTACCACTAGTTTATTACAGAAAAGGGGGGCAATAACATTTATTCTCTCATGTACGAGTGCAGAAAATAGGAAAAATAACCACTTGGAGAGGATCGGAAGTGAATAGAAGTATCTTCCTGCTGCCCACATTCATGTATAGACACTTATCTACTTGCTAGTCTGTATGTTAATTTTTAATTATATTCCTAATTCTACTCAGTAGAGTACATGTGTAGCAGTACATGTGAAGCATGAGCACCTGAAATGGCATTCTTGATTCCACTTGGAGGACAAAACAATTAAAATGTAAATGTCACAGTATCTAACTTGTTAATGTAGAAGACCTATATTGGATCTTGCTCTTAATCTAAACTGCTATATGAGTTTAGTTTTGGAATAACATAAAGCAAAACACTTTCTTCAGTTCAGGAACAATTTTTTTTGGTGAATATATATTAAGTAATGTATTTCAATAAATAATTTTTAGATATAGCCAGAGATGAGAAAAATCTTGAATACTGCATGTATTCAATTTCTGTAGTTACTACTGGCTGTGAAAGCAGACTTGAGAAGAAAAAGTTATCCAGAAACTTTCATGAAATACGGTTTACGGAAATGTTCTTTGCCCAAGCACCATCAAAGAATTCTGGAACCTTTACTACAATATTTACAGTCATATATGCATAATGGTAATCTGTTAGACTCTCTGCTGATTTTATGACTCACTTCATGCTTGCACCAAAGGCTATTAATCTGTAACTAGTTGTTTGACCTGGAGATGCTGAACATGGTGCTGACAACTCCGTGCCTTATGCTGTTAACGAGAAGAATTGCCATGTCTTAACTATAGTTGCCTGCTGTGTTCTCAACCCTCCAGTCAATTCCTAAGCCTTCCATGAGAACTTCATCGATGATGTCAACCCCTGACAAGTGAGTATTTATTAATCTGAAGCTCCATTTAACCACTTGTTGGAAAAGAGAAAAGGGACACCCACTTCTGCACAGACAGAGTGGCAGTGAGATATCCCTTACTCTATCCTGATTTTTTGCACACTGACTGGAAATGATCCCAGTGGCTGCCTCTCCTCACTCGGAGCTTTTGCAAAATACAGCCTTGACATTGTGAATCTTCCAGGACCTCTAACAGTTTCACTGCTTCCTACCCAGTTATGAGCAGAACCTGTGGAGCTGGTCAGACCACTGTCCACCCTACCTCTGACAGGGCGAAAGGGGACAGGCAGGGGGGTCAGGCAGTGGGGGGCAGCAATGAAACAGGTTGACCAGAAAAGTCGGGGAATCTCTAATGTTGGAGGGTTTCCCAGCTTAGCTAGGGAAATCCATGATTGACGTGACTGAGTGCTAGTGATAGGCCCACTTCAAACGGGAAGTTGGGTTAGATGGTCTCCATGAGGTCTATGTGAAAAAGGCAGCAGATTTACCTTTTTGCTGTTGCTTAATGACAGTACTACATGATTTAACATTCTGGTACTGTTTAGGAAGCTAGAATTGCAGTCATAAAAATTAAAACTCTATAAATATTTAAAAGAAACTTAGATCATGATTAAACTCATAGCTAGTTATGTTCACAAGTCAAAGCTCCTTTCTTAAAATTAACTATATATTTCTCAAACTCCACTGAAACTGCTGATTCTTGTAGACAAAATCAAGTGTCTTTTACATATCTAGGTGTACACAAATATGTGCAAATATCCATGACTTGAATTTTGCCCAGAGAAGAGGCAAAGTCTTTCAAAAAACGAATCCTTAAACTCGCTGAAGTGTAATAGTCTATTTCACACATCTCTTGAATTAAAAACAAACAAAACAAACAATCTTTAAAACAAAGGGGTTTTTTTGTTGTTATTTTCTTGTATTTTTCCCACTAAGGTGAAACATCTTTTAGTTTTACTAATAACAAAAAATTTTTTAATGTACACAATTTCTACTCCATTAAAAATGTGTTTAAAGATGGGCTTGTTTGGGTTTTTAAGAGGATACTCTTACAGATAAGTCCAGAGAGACAGCTCACAGAAGACTGTTTCAGCAAAACAAGGGAAAATAATGTATTTCTTAACTGTTGTCAGAAGAACATATAGAATTAAAAAAACCTTGAGAACACAAGACTTTGCTAACACCTTGAACTGTGTCCAAATAAAAATACAATTCAGGAGTTTAAACACATATGTGTGTTCATATTAGCTCATCCATTTATATGTTGAAGATTTGCATCTTGTGCTAGCTGAAGCTTTTTTAATTAATAAAATCTGACAGCAGTAGACAAATAAAACAATATAAAGCAATTTGAAAGACCCTTATCCTAGCATTTTTACTCAGATACCTCTAAATTCGTTAGAAATTGGGACTGTTACTGAAATTGAAGCTTGCTGGATCAACTCTTCTTGTCTTTGAACTATGAGTTGGAAAACTAATGTTTGTTTCCATTTTAGTATTCTCCTATACCATGTGGGAGTTTTTTATTATTTTGCAAGCTTATTTTAAAACTGAATGTATTTTCCAGATCTTTGCCATCTTATGTGATATTCACATCAAATTTACACTACATTGTGCCAGTGTATAAAACCACTCTCAAATATTACTACAGTATTATTTGACAGCATTTTGCTAAATGTGAGGCGGTAAGGCTTGCACACAATTCTATAGGCTGAGAGTTTAATAGAAGGTGCGCTGTCAATACAAAACAATACAGAAAAATTGTGGCACCAAAGCAATATGCTTGGAGGCGAAGCATCACAATTTCCACAGGCACAGACAGTTACCTTATGATAACATTTCTGTAAAGCCTGAAGGTAATTTCAGAACCAGCAAACTCCAGATGAAGTTTTAGCAAATCCCACACCTTCCTGACATGCTTTATCACCAGCCCTAACTTGCTATGCTTCCTGGACATGGAAGTTAATTAACATCACCTCTATACTAGCAGTAAACGTACCACAGTATTTTTCATCATGGCTTTAACAGTGAATCCATCGGAGACCTGCTGTTTGATTTTCTTCACGTGCCCCAGGGGCTTCTGTTGCTGGGGGCACCCGTCACCTACGGGCTTTGAAGGGCTTGAACCCGCTTTCTCCACTACCATCTCCCCACCAGCATCCGCGACGGCCAAGCGGCAAAATACAGACTGGGAAAAAAAAAAAAAACAAAAAAAACCCACAACAACAAAAAAAAAAAAAAAAAAAAAAAAAAAACAAACATCCATCAACGCCCCAGCTGGTAAGTCAGGAAACGCAGCGGGTGTACCCCAGTTTCCTGCGCCCCCCACAACCTCCCCACCCGCTCCCGCGCCTTCCCTGCCCCCGACAGCCCTCCTCCCCTGCCCTCCTCCCCTGTCCCCCAGCCCGTCCCCCCGCTCCCTCTCCCCCGTCCCCAGCCCTTCCCCACTACCTGCTCCTCCATACCCCCCGGGGCCTCTCCCTCCCGCCGCCTCCCTCACGCCCGGCCCCACGCGCCAGGGTCCCTCGGCGGGGTCGGTTGCGGGCGGGGCGGGGCGGGGCGGGCGCGGGCCGCCGCCGGCGCTTGCACGCGTCCCCGGCCTCGCGCCCGTCTCTAGGCAACGCGTCAACAACCCGCCGCCTCGCCGGCGGGGGTCACGTGCGCGCGGAGAGGGGTGGGGGAGAGCGGGTGGTTAACCAAAGAAACGCCGACGGCAAGCCCGCCCGTGCCGGCGGGCACAGCGGGAAGCGGGCAGGCGCTAACGCCGCGCGACGGAAATTAACTGAAAGTAATTAGCACGGGGAGATGAGCGGCGGGGGGGAAGGGGGAAGGCGGCCCCGTGAGGAGAAGGGCTGGGCGGTGGGAAAGAGGCGTGAACTACGTTACCCAGAGGGCCCCGCGGCCGCCCTGGCGCATGCGCATCCCGCCGGCGCTCAGGGTGCAGGGGAACGCGCGAGCGCCTCCTTCCCCTCCCATCCTCTCCTCCTCCTCCCCCCGCCGCCGCCTCCATGATCGGTGAGTGAGCGAGCGAGCGAGCGAGCCCGGATGCAGATCCGCCTTTTCCTGCCCGCCCCTCTGCCGCCGACGCCCCTGGCGCGTCGGGCCCGGGGGGTGGCGCGGGCTGGCGTGGCTGCCCTCGGTCCCTCCGGTTCCTCGGCGGGTCCCCGCGGGGAGGGGCCGACGCTGCGCGGCTCCCGGGGCTGTGCCCCGGCCGCCCCCTCGCCGGCTCGTTGCTGCGCCTCAGGTTGAAGCGCTGCGTGCCGTTGGCGCGGCCGTGCGGGGGGGCTCGGGGGTCGCAGTGCCGAGGGGTCAGTGCCCTCGTTGTTTGCCCCTCTGGTGGGGGATGACCCACTAACGGCCTGCCCAGGGATGGTGCTTGAGGTCATTTTAAAGTTATTTTTTATTTCCTCACAGAGTATCGGTTGTAAATGCTGATGTGTCGCTTGTCAACTTTGCTCTTGCCTGGTATAAGTACGTGTTACTGGCATGGTGCTCGCCGGTGGTGATCTGAGGAAGAAGCAATTGAGCCCTAGTTATGTTGGGAGTTTTGCCATTTCGTTCTTGAGTTGGCTTCTGTACCCATCTAGTGCTGGTATGATGATCTGATTCGGTTGTTCCAGCACTGGGTTGTCTTCTGTTTGTAAGATGAATCTCATACTGGAGGAGTCCCACAAATTACAAAATCTGTTTTGTAGTCCTTGCCTCTCATTACATATTTCATCTTGCATTCACTTTATAAATTTTCTGATTTATTTGAAGTAAAAGCTATAAAAGGTAGTAGATGCACTTTTATTTTAATATTTCCTTGCCTTCCTCAGGCTTGCTGTTTTATCTTCACCATAAGTGTCATAATTGCTGTCTATGTAAGACCTGATCAAGTAGAAATGCACGCAGTTGTCAAAATACTTATTGTTGTTTAACGTCTCAAAAGTGTCCAAGAATCCTATGGGTCTTTCAACTAGACATAATTTTTTGCTAGCAGTATATGAACATGAGTATTTGGGTAATGTTCTTTTACTTTCAGCTTTTTAAAAGTTAAAAGGAAGTTAAAAGGCTGTTATTTACATGATATTTTCAGTCTGTATAAATATTTATGCAGATGGTCTGATGGTCTTTTCTTACTTGTGGGACCTTACTGGGTTTTCTTGTCATGTGGACTATTTTTTTTTACTTATGTAGGAGATAATATTTTAAATTAAAGGCTTGACTTAAGGAAAGCACGGGGTCAGATGTTCCACTATCATCTCGAAATGTTACTTCCTCTGCTGATGTCTTGCTATAGTATATAAAATACACGTATTTACAAAACCGCAGTGTAGGTTTGTTTTTGAATGTTTTAGAAAAGTAAGTGAAGTGTACATAACGAACTGCCCATGTGGTTACAGAGTTGATGTTTCTAGCCCTCATACTGAAATCTACATGTTTACTTACTGCTCATGAAGGTAACATTTACATGACTGAGGAATTATAATTTTGTTTTCACTGTGGCAGATGGAAATGTTTGTGAATATTGATTATGAAATGTACATCCCAATTAGTTGCAAATTTATAAACACAGCTTTACATGATTTGCAACCTTAAATGATTTAAGCAGCAACCTGTGATTTTAGTGAACAAAAAAAAAAAGTGAAACTCGCCCCTTCTCCCCCTTAAAATACAAGAATTGCCTTCAAAGTATATGATGTAGAGACCTTGTCCAATGTCCTGCTTTCAGAAGAGTCTCCTCTAAGCACTTATACCTACAAATACCATAGCAAAATTGGGGGCAGGAGGAGAAGGGTGAAATAATTTGTGTAATCTATGCCCAATTTCTTGACCTGAGTGTTTAAAGAATTACCCTATTGAAGGCACACAGTATATTTTCCAAAATGTTTTACACTTTCATGTCTCTGGAAATGCTTTATGTTCTCATGAGTTCTTGTGGCAAGGGATTCTAATATGTAATTATGCAACACATGACAGTGAATTCCTTTAGCTGATTTTTAATTTTCTATCTCTTACTTTCTTTTCATGTCCCTTTGTTCTTGTGCTACAAAATGGGGACAACAAACCAGATTAATATGTTAGTATTACTACTTTTTTCTTATTCTTTCTTATTACTCTCCCTCTGGTTTTATGCTTTTGTCCACTGAAATAGGTGAACCTTTTCACTCCACCTTTCTCTAAGTGTTTGGCCATACTCATGGTGGTTCTTTGAACTTCCTCCCCTTGCCCCCCACCAAGAAATTTTTTGATACTTTGCTGGGGAAGACTTTTTTTCCATAGCACTTCTTGTTCCAGAAGAGGTTAGACAACTGGCTTGTATTACTGGTTTTTAATAGTCTTCATACAGTTTCCCATCCTGCTTGTTATTACATTCTCCTGTCTGGTTAGTTTTTGTTGACTGAACGGAGATTTGTGGAAAAAAGATTTGCTTATAAATGAATTTCTGAGTGCTAGCATCTTACCTGAAAAAAAAAAAAAAACAAAATAAATCAGTATATGCTTGTTTTCAGTAAGAAGTTATATCTTGAGGAAGGCCTTCAAAATATGTAACTTTATTTAATCTGTGTGACATCTGCTATTAGAAAATCATAACAGCAAGTTGATTATGTAGCACTCCCATTTGTGTGGAAATTCCATGGACAAATTTCTCTGGAAAGTCCATGGCAGCTGACACATGCATTGTATTGGGTTCATGAGTGCTTCTGAAATTTTACTACTTGGTTATAAAATTATTTTTCAAGGTAAATGGTAAAAACAGCTCTTGGTTTTAGAAATGTTTTTAGAAGATTGTTCTGTAATGTGCTTCACTTATAAGTGAAGTTGCCAGAATAATTCCTCAACAGTCCTTTCACTTATGCATAGATTGCCTTTTTTAATGTTACAATTTATTTATACTACTTGCTGATGTGTTGTTCAGTTAAGGACTTCGGTAAACTTCTCTGTAGAAATTTATTTTATTTTATTTTTGTTATGAAAAAGAATGATATAAATGGAGGAGTGCTCAAATTAGTGTTTTTCATTTTGACTAGAGAATACTGTATGTATATGTTCTGACCGATGCAAGATAGGAATCCTTGCATAAATTACTGACCACTGGGGAGCCAAATTCATTCTGATTTCCATACTTGTAACAGTGGTGCAAGTTAAATGAATTAAATATATGCTGCTTGAAGGACCTGTGTCATACTTCATTGTCTTCTGCCAGCCAGTTCTCAAAGAGGTTTATTGTAGACGAAAACATTTCTGTGGACAACTTCTACACTACCATTTGCCTTAAGCTTTTGAGACTCTGTTCCATATTTCCAGATTTGTTTCTGTCACTTTGCTTCTTGTCCCCCATTTATTTTTCCTGCATTCACATTTTTTTAGTGAGTCTGTTGTGCTTCAGTGGAAGCACCGTGGAAATGCCTGTCTGTTGCAGCTAGTTCAAAGCTTTTTAGCAGTATAGGTAGTGAAATTTAGAAAGCATGACTTTAATGGTAAGTTGTGACCAATAGAGAAAAAAGGGATCAGCCTGATGAGCACTAGCTGGAGTTGCCCCTGCCTGCTCGCTCTGTCTCATAATGCTGGGCTGGTCAGATGCATTGAGAACACCTCTTTGGGGTTTGTGGCTGACGTGGGGGTAGGGTCTGCTGGTGACTCCTTGCCATGACTTCTTCCCTGATCAACAGTACTGTTGCTTGGACAAAAAGTGGTGATTGAGATCAACCTTACTGGGGCTGTTTTGCAGCCTCCAGCAGTTGGGTGCCCTAGACGACAGTAACTGTGCTGATGCCTAGAGCTTACTCTGTCCTGTGGTCAAGAACCAAGCAAAAATTTTGGTAAAAATCTTTATCAAACCCGAAGTTTTTGCAGAAAATAGTATTTTATTACTTACCATGAATTTTTTACATAATAGTGGCTCCAAGGTGGCTGTGCAGCATGGATAAGGTATGAATACTTGCACACTTTTGCCTTACATTTCAGTTATTTTAACGTACCTTTTTCAACCATACTGACATGGATGTAAGTTCTCACACAGTTTAACTGCATCATACTTTCGATTTAACATACAGAAAGTAGCCCCAGGCAGAGTATGCTCAGATTTTCAGATAGCAGCAGAAACCCACTGGAGCTGTGGATAGAGAGAACGAGTTTTAAGCAGCACTAGCTTTACAATAGGATGAAAGACCTATGTTTAGATCATGATTCGAAGGTTAAGATGGGTACTTGTGGTATTGATGTGATGCTTTAAATTTGACACTTAGATTTGGCAAAAAGTTGGAAATTATGTTCTGTTGGAAAAAAAAAAAAAAAAGGTAATTTGCTCAGACATTTGTCCAGAAGTTTTCACAAATTTGTTTCACAGATTCTTAAAACTTTTATCTATTTCAGTATTTGGAGCATAACATTTTTCTTAGCTTTTTTGATACTGGTGACACTGGTAAAATACTAGATTGCATTTTTCTACCTTAGTCGGAGCAGAAAAACGGTCTGTCGTCTTTATTTTTGTTTTGAATACAGGCATATCCGTATCACAATGTTATACAATTTTAGTGTGATTTTTTTTTTTTTGAACTGGCTGAACTCTGTAAGATTTGTTAAATAAACTCAGTCCAACGTCCATGTGGATGCATTGCACTGTGTTTATCTGTTATCACTAGTGTCATGGTTCTGCTGCTTCACAAGGAGCTGTTGATAGTGCTCTGTCGAAACGTGAGCTTTTGTGAGGGTGCATAAAGAATATAGAACAGGGTCTGAATTATTTATGAAATGTATTCTGCAATGAGTTTGCAGCTAGATTACATAG